TTAGTCCAATAGTAGACACCTGGCCCGGTAAAACACTATGGTTTTTTTTTTCTCATAACGCTCACTCTGTATTGCATGCGACCTCAGAAGGGCTTGTCCAACAGAAGGCAAAAAGTAAATTTTCGAAGTCTGCTAATGTTTCATCTGCTTCTGTGAAAATTAATCCGCATACGCTTCTGAGAAGGTCCGAGGCCTCTCAGGCCTTGTTCTGAACGTGAAGAACAGACGCAGTTATGTATACTTGATACACCTGTGATCATGCTAATCTCAATGCTGTCACTCATCTTACCTATCCTTGCACGACAACCAGCAGTTAATACTGACTGCCGTAGGTCCAAAAACCTTATGTTTTTGATTCTCTGCCCCGAGCCTTGAGGCGACGGAGATGCAACATCGGGCCAATAGGCACTTACTGAAAATCGTGAAGACCCTGCGCCTAGTATCGATTGGGAGACAGATGTCGTCCTTACTCTGCCCATTTAACGCCAGCTTCGCTGTCAGATGTCTAAGCTGCCCACTTTTTCAAGTAGGCAGCAGTTTATCTCGTACCGTAAAGAGGCAGCAGTTACTTGCGTTGTATTGATGAACATAACATGCTGTCAGGTTTAAACTATCAGGACTTCAGAACGTCAACGATTCCCAGCATCCAATACTAAGGGTTAGTTCGCGATTAAATAGCTCGGCTTGCGTATTATCCGCCTCGCTCCGTCGGAAACCTCGGACGCGGCACCTTGCTGTGCTTCAAACACGGAAGCTCCTACCTCACGACTAACTACGTTACTCGTGCAACTTCTATAGTAATGAATACCCAACAATACCAAATTCCTTCCCTCGCATTATAGTCTACTCTGCTACTTTCAGTAGGCGTAAATTTATTTTAATACTAGGCGCAACCTACCACATACGTGTTCGTGAAAACTCGGTTTGTGCTCTTGATTCAGTTTTTTTGCAGCGAATTATCCTTTAGTTGCGTTTGGTCATGCTGAATTGCTCAAAATTCAAACTTCCAGTGAAAGTAACCACATTCCCCTGAACTTTCGTGTCTTTTATGCTTTCGTCCACAGAAGGATCCCGAAGCCCTGACTGCACAACTGAAGACCATTGATGGTGTATTTCGCCGCCAGTTGAGGGTCGCGCATCAGGGTAACCAACGTATTTTACTTCATTATCTTTAAAACCGGCTGCAGAAAATCAGATTATTAGTTAGTCCTCTCCCACGTCCTCTAGTGACCTGTCAACGTCAACCACATTGCTAGAAGTTGTCTAAATGTGCCGTCTTGCACGCGCCGTAAACGGACTCAGATAGCAAAGGACTGAGGAATACCATAGTGGCCACGACCTGCAGGGGCCATTGAATTCTGGCCTCCCTATTTGCAGGAG